GGCGAGATGGGCTGCTGCTGATGCATTGGCGAGATGGGCTGCTGCTGATGCATTGGCGAGATGGGCTGCTGCTGATGCTGCACACGCGCGTGATGCTGCTGCCCATTGGTTTCCAGGTGCAGCGGTGCATACGGCTGCTGCTGGTGCAGGGGTGCAGACGGGGACTGCTGAAGCAGTGGTGCAGGCGGCTCCTGCTGATGCAGCGTTGTTGACGGCTGCTGCTGATGCAGCGTTGCTGACTGCTGCTGCAGATGCAGCGTTGCTGACTGCTGCTGCTGATGCAGCATTGCTGACGGATGCTGCTGAGGCAGGGGCGAGGTGGGCTGCTACGCGTGATGGGAAAGAGACGACGTTTCGTGCTGTTGCAGCCCATTGGCATGCTGATGCATGGATGAGGGCGGCTGCTGCCGATGCTGGCGATCACCAGGCAAAGAAGATCCAGAGGTTAGCTGATGCTGCAGCCCATTGGCTTGCTGAGACAGGAAGTTCGTGGGGTGCTGCTGATGCTGGCCGTGTGTCTCCACGTGCTGCATAGATACACCGACTGGTCTGGCACCAGGCGGCACACTAGCGCGCCTCCCACCACTGCGGCGGCCGACACCAGTCCGAGAAGAGTTTGATGTTGTCGAAGCGGGCAGTTGTGTCGATCCCAGTAGAGAAGTGATAGACACCATCCGTTCGCCTGCACAAAATGCATCACGAATAGCGTCAGAAGCGGAACAAGGGCAGAAGGACAGGCAAATCAAGGGCTGCAACCGTGAAATGCAAGCCTCAAACTAAACACGATACGCAAATGGCAGGCTCACCTGCGGTGGGCGTCGTGGAAGCAGCTGCACCTGCCGAAATTCCAGTAGAGGGTTGACCTAGGACACGGACTGATTGCAGTGCTGCTGCGAACCTGCTGTGCTGTCCTTTCGTGGGTCGACCTGAGCGTCGTGGTCCTGAGGATGCCATTGTAGAGGAAAATCAACTTTGGTCAGTCTGGAAAACTTACTGAAAGTATGTTTCCCCATTCTATTTATAGGGAAAGCCTCGTAGCTTCAGCACGAGATCAGCATAAGCTCAGCTAGCAGAGCCTCGGGAGTAACAAGAGGCTCCGTGATCAATGGCGCCATGGTTCAGAGAGGTGTAGAGTGGCGACGGCCATCTCTAATTCAAAATTCGAAAGTTTAAGAAAGGAGGCTCACGTAACTGCTCCCCGGTCGTGTCTGTGGTGTCGCGCGCGAGGTACGTTAGCAGGAGCGTGACTCAACCGAGACAGACGATGGCATTGCTGAGTTGGCCCCGAACAACACTGGACCTGGGACTCGTTGGTATGGGGAAGCTAGGGTTTCACGCATTTGGTCGCCATTGGCTGGCAAGCGCGGTTCCTACACGGGGTTGTTTGACAAGTCCACACAAACGGTGTGGGTTAGGTACTAGTCGAGCCGCTAACAAACCTGTACAACTTCAACCTCACTAGAAGCACAAAAATCGAGAAGTACAAAAATGGCATGCTTGAAGTGATCTCTTAAAACAAAATCAAATTTGCCATAATGGTAGCCACTAATTTGCCTAAGAGTTGCAAGTGGTATGATTGGGATGTGGATGTTAACGTTAGACCGGGTGAGGTGTTCAGAAGAGATCACGAATGCGAATGGTCGAGGTGACGAGAACGGTATGAGGGCATCTGGACCGCCGAAACGGCGGACAACTTCGTGTCGATGTTACATTCAAGCACCATATACTAACCGTGCCATGCAGAACTCCCAATATCCTGGACATAGGCATTGGTTTGGGCTTAGTCGCACAACTATGCAGCACCTGACGCTTGCTTGTGCGTCAGATGGCTAGAAACTGTGCAAGGCCAGGCTGATACACAACATGTTACCATTTTGACCTTTGGTTGTTGTTTTTAGCCCCCCTTCTTCACAGATCCACTGAGTTCAAACATTTCCCTCGCCATAGGAACTGGTTTGGGCTCTTTCGCACACACTACGCAGCACGTGACGCTTGTTTGTGCGTCGTGTGGCTAGAAACTGTGCAATGACTGGCTGGTACGCAACATGTTAGCGTTTCGTCACTTGGTTGTTTTTTGTAGCCCCATTTCTTCACAGATTCGGTGAGTGAACTCAATTCCCTTGCCATAGGAACTGGTTTGGGCTCTTTCGCACAATTACGCAGCGCGTGACGCTTGTTCATGCAAGGGTGGCTAGAAACTGTGCAAGGACTAGCTGGTACGCAACATGTTACCGTTTCGTCGCTTGGTTGTGTTTTGTAGCCCCATTTCTTTACAGATTCAGTGTTCACTCAATTCCCTTGCCATAGGAACTGGTTTGGGCTCTTTAGCACAATTACGCATCACGTGACACTTGTTTGTGCATCGTGTGGCTAGAAAATGTGCAATGACTGGCTGATACGCAACATGTTACCGTTTCGTCGCTTGATTGTTGCTTTTAAATCCAATTCTTCACAGATTCTGTGAGGTCACTCAATTCCCTTGCCATAGGAACTGGTTTGGGCTCTTTCGCACAACTACCCCGCACGTGACGCTTGTTCATGTGTCGCATGGCTACAAACTGCGCAAGCACTGGCTGGTACGCAACATGTTACCGTTTCGTCGCTTGGTTGTGTTTTGTAGCCACATTTCTTCACAGATTCAGTGAGTTCGCTCAATTCTCTTTCCATAGGATCTGGTTTGGGCTCTTTCGCACAACTACGCAGCACGTGACGCTTGTTTGTGCGTCGTGTGGCTAGAAACTGTGCAATGACTGGCTGGTACGCAACATGTTAGCGTTTCGTCGCTTGGTTGTTTTTTGTAGCCCCATTTCTTCACAGATTCGGTGAGTTAACTCAATTCCCTTGCCATAGGAACTGGTTTGGGCTCTTTCGCACAATTACGCAGCGCGTGACGCTTGTTCATGCAAGGGTGGCTAGAAACTGTGCAAGGACTGGCTGGCACGCAACATGTTACCGTTTCGTCGCTTGGTTGTGTTTTGTAGCCCCATTTCTTCACAGATTCAGTGTTCACTCAATTCCCTTGCCATAGGAACTGGTTTGGGCTCTTTAGCACAATTACGCATCACGTGACACTTGTTTGTGCATCGTGTGGCTAGAAACTGTGCAATGACTGGCTGATACGCAACATGTTACCGTTTCGTCGCTTGATTGTTGCTTTTAAATCCAATTCTTCACAGATTCTGTGAGGGCACTCAATTCCCTTGCCATAGGAACTGGTTTGGGCTCTTTCGCACAACTACCCCGCACGTGACGCTTGTTCATGTGTCGCATGGCTACAAACTGCGCAAGCACTGGCTGGTACGCAACATGTTACCGTTTTGTCGCTTGGTTGTGTTTTGTAGCCACATTTCTTCACAGATTCAGTGAGTTCACTCAATTCCCTTGCCATAGGATCTGGTTTGGGCTCTTTCGCACAACTACGCACCACGTGACGCTTGTTTGTGCGTCGTGTGGCTAGAAACTGTGCAATGACTGGCTGGTACGCAACATGTTAGCGTTTCGTCGCTTGGTTGTTTTTTGTAGCCCCATTTCTTCACAGATTCGGTGAGTTAACTCAATTCCCTTGCCATAGGAACTGGTTTGGGCTCTTTCGCACAATTACGCAGCGCGTGACGCTTGTTCATGCAAGGGTGGCTAGAAACTGTGCAAGGACTAGCTGGTACGCAACATGTTACCGTTTCGTCGCTTGGTTGTGTTTTGTAGCCCCATTTCTTTACAGATTCAGTGTTCACTCAATTCCCTTGCCATAGGAACTGGTTTGGGCTCTTTAGCACAATTACGCATCACGTGACACTTGTTTGTGCATCGTGTGGCTAGAAACTGTGCAATGACTGGCTGATACGCAACATGTTACCGTTTCGTCGCTTGATTGTTGCTTTTAAATCCAATTCTTCACAGATTCTGTGAGGGCAATCAATTCCCTTGCCATAGGAACTGGTTTGGGCTCTTTCGCACAACTACCCCGCACGTGACGCTTGTTCATGTGTCGCATGGCTACAAACTGCGCAAGCACTGGCTGGTACGCAACATGTTACCGTTTCGTCGCTTGGTTGTGTTTTGTAGCCACATTTCTTCACAGATTCAGTGAGTTCACTCAATTCCCTTGCCATAGGATCTGGTTTGGGCTCTTTCGCACAACTATGCAGCACGTGACGCTTGTTTGTGCGTCGTGTGGCTAGAAACTGTGCAATGACTGGCTGGTACGCAACATGTTGCCGTTCCGTCACTTGGTTGTTTTTTTTAGCCCCATTTCTTCGCAGATTCAGTGAGTTAACTCAAATCCCTTGCCATAGGAATTGGTTTGGCTATTTCGCACAACCACGAACCACACTTTCATTAGATTGGCATGTCATAACTGTTATTAATTGAAAAATAAAGTTAGTGTATGCTATGTATAAGAGAGGCATCCCAATAGATACCTTTCTTGCCACCACCTAGAGGACAATGCTGCAGGTGTCAGCACTTATTGGTTGCAGTGTGCACAAGGGAATCTGCATTTAATACTTGGCATGTGATGGCATGTGATGGCATGAGGTGACATGTGGTGCTAACCAATAGGAAACCACACATGTGGGCTACAATCAAATTGGTACCTTCTATATGCACAAGTGTCTTATTCTTGCCACCCTGTTTGCTGTGTGGCACCACATCTATTGTTGAAGGAATGAGCACAATCCATGAGCAGTTGTCCAGATTTAAATTGGGATCAAGAAGGTTAGCACAAGCTGCCAATGTGAATTTGCTGCTGAGTGCATCAATCAGGCCATCCAGGTGGACATTGCTGATGGGCCAGACATGGTGTGGATATGGATGAAAGTAGCCAGCTGCTGCACTGCTAGGACGTTTCTTTAGAAGTTGCCTTGCTTACTAACCCTTCCACTGTTCACCATACTGCCACCATGCTGTTAGTGATGTCACATCCACAGTTGTCAAGCATTTTGCATTGTCAGCAACATCCAGGGTGGAAAGAACTAAACAACATTGATAAAGACAATTTGAAAATGGACAATTTTCCCACCGTTTTGGGAACTGCTTCCAAAGTGTGGTTGATGGACAAGCCCGACCACTTCAAGTGGCCTAGGCGCACTGTTGGTACAGCTGTCTGCTGCCAAGTGGCTGTTTCTGGTGTTTAGGACCAGACATTTTGACCATTGTCTGATTCTTGCACCTACATTCTGAACCACCGAAGAGCTGGCCTCTGCCAGCGCCCACCCCAGACGGACTCTCGTCGACTGCTACCCAGACTCCCTCCGCCTTACCTTCTCACGTCCACTCCTTCTGAGAAGCCAACTTTGCTGGTCTAGAACTGCTTGACTAAACTACTCCAGCTTACACCCTGCCTTGCATCATGACGCCTATACGCTCGTGGTGAAGATTGTGATGAGCAATCTTTTTCCAATACCTTAGTTCACCATCTCGTTACATCGTGCGTTACTCGGTCGTCTACTTTCCCACCCACTTTCCCGCCATCTTGAGCCTCTTTTAAACCTACATTCCATTTGTATTTCCGCATCGCATTTAGAGAAACCCAGTGGCTCTCGCAAGTGGCGTGCGCCGGTATCCGCTGGCGTGAGGCACGGTGAGTGACCCGGCGGTCGCGGGCGTGTCGCGTGTGGTGTTTGCCGGAATCCGCAGGCGGCACACGTGGGGCTTGAGGACGGAATCCGCAGGCGTGTCGCACCGTGGGAGCTCCTGAATCCCCCGGCGTTTTGCGCGAAGTGAGATCCGGAATCTGCTCGCGTGTCGCACGGCGGGAGCTTTGGATTCAGCAAGCGTTTCGCGTTGTGGGAGCTCTGGAATCCGCAGGCATGTCGCTCTGTGGGTGCCTCGGATTCAGCAGCTCTCATCGCGCGGTGTGAGATCCGAGATACAGAGGCGTGTCGCTCGGTGCGTATTCCCTCCGTGGGCCGTCCTATCCCCTCTCATCCTGCCCTCCTATCCTCCCCTGACGTCCTATCCTCTCACATCCTGCTCTCCTCTCCTCTCCTGCTCTCCTCGCCTCTCTTGCTCTCCTATCCTCTCCTCTCCCATCCTGCCTTCGCCTCTCTCATCCTGCTCGAAATTTGCCGTCCTGCTCTCCTCACCCATCCCGCTCTCCTCTCCTCTCCCATCCCGCTCTCCTCTAGTCTCCTCTCGTGCTCCACTCTCCTCTCGTGCTCTCCTCTCCTCTCCTGCTCTCCTCGAGTCTCCTTCTCTCCTCTCCTCTCCTGCTCTCTTCTCCTCTCTTGCTCTCTTCTCCTCTCCTGCTCTCCTCTCCTCTCCTGCTCTCCTCTCCTCTCCTGCTCTCCTCTCCTCTCCTGCTATCCTCTCCTCTCCTGCTATCCTCTCCTCTCCTGCTATCCTCTCCTCTCCTGCTATCCTCTCCTCTCCTGCTCCCCTCTCCTCTCCTGCTCTCCTCTCCTCTCTGCTCTCCTCTCCTCTCCTGCTCTCCTCTCCTCTCCTCTCTCCTCTCCTCTCCTGCTCTCCTCTCCTCTCCTGCTATCCTCTCCTCTCCTGCTCTCCTCTCCTCTCCTGCTCTCCTCTCCTCTCCTGCTCTCCTCTCCTCTCCTGCTATCCTCTCCTCTCCTGCTATCCTCTCCTCTCCTGCTATCCTCTCCTCTCCTGCTCTCCTCTCCTCTCCTGCTCTCCTCTCCTCTCCTGCTCTCCTCTCCTCTCCTGCTCTCCTCTCCTCTCCTGCTCTCCTCTCCTCTCCTCTCCTGCTCTCCTCTCCTCTCCTGCTCTCTTCTCCTCTCCTGCTCTCTTCTCCTCTCCTGCTCTCTTCTCCTCTCCTGCTATCCTCTCCTCTCCTGCTATCCTCTCCTCTCCTGCTATCCTCTCCTCTCCTGCTATCCTCTCCTCTCCTGCTCTCCTCTCCTCTCCTGCTCTCCTCTCCTCTCCTGCTCCCCTCTCCTCTCCTGCTCCCCTCTCCTCTCCTGCTCCCCTCTCCTCTCTGCTCTCCTCTCCTCTCCTGCTCTCCTCTCCTCTCCTCTCTCCTCTCCTCTCCTCTCCTGCTCTCCTCTCCTCTCCTGCTCTCCTCTCCTCTCCTGCTCTCCTCTCCTCTCCTGCTCTCCTCTCCTCTCCTGCTCTCTTCTCCTCTCCTGCTCCCCTCTCCTCTCCTGCTCCCCTCTCCTCTCCTGCTATCCTCGTCCCCCCCTCTCCTCCCTCAATGTCCACACCTCTCCTCTCTCGCTCCGTCCTCCACTGCTCGCTTCTCCACCCATATTTGCAGGCGTGTCGCGCGGTGGGATCTCCGGAAACAGTAGGCGCGCGCAACAGTGTGGTTTCCAGAATCCGGATGCCAACCTCCCTCGGTGCGTACGCGGAAATCTCGCTTCCCCTTCCCCTTCCTCTTCCTCTCCCTGCCTTCCTCTCCTCTCGCTTCCTGCCATCATCCCCTCTCCCGTCCTGCCTTCATCTCCTCTCCCGTGCTGCCTTCAGCTCCTCTCCCGTGCTGCCATCATCTCCTCTCCCGTGCTGCCATCATCTCCTCTCCCGTGCTGCCTTCATCTCCTCTCCCGTGCTGCCTTCATCTCCTCTCCCGTGCTGCCATCATCTCCTCTCCCGTGCTGCCATCATCTCCTCTCCCGTGCTGCCATCATCTCCTCTCCCGTGCTGCCATCATCTCCTCTCCCGTGCTGCCATCATCTCCTCTCCCGTGCTGCCATCATCTCCTCTCCCGTGCTGCCATCATCTCCTCTCCCGTGCTGCCATCATCTCCTCTCCCGTGCTGCCATCATCTCCTCTCCCGTGCTGCCATCATCTCCTCTCCCGTGCTGCCATCATCTCCTCTCCCGTGCTGCCATCATCTCCTCTCCCGTGCTGCCATCATCTCCTCTCCCGTGCTGCCATCATCTCCTCTCCCGTGCTGCCATCATCTCCTCTCCCCTGCTGCCATCATCTCCTCTCCCGTGCTGCCATCATCTCCTCTCCCGTGCTGCCATCACCTCCTCTTCCGGCCTGCATTCATCTCCTCTCCCTTCCTGCCTCCCTCTCCCCCCTCTTTCTGTCCTCCCTTCTCCTCTCTCTTTCTGTCCTCTCTCTTCTCCCGTGCGGCCCTCCCTCCTCTCCTCTCACATCCTGCCCTCCCCTCTGCCCTGCCATCCTCTCCAATCCAGCCCACGTATCCTTTCCCGGCCTGCCACTCACTTTGTGTACCGTGCCTCTTAACTCCACACAGGTCTGCTCAACACATGTTGCCTGCTAACTCTTCGGTGCGGCGTCTGCGATACACCGAATGTACGTCAAACCTTGGGCTAGGTTGTGGTGACGGCGTGGGCATGTGCGTTTGGGCAGCGGGCGTCCGGTACTGTGTACCGTTGCCTGATGTGTCATTCAATATACTTATATGCGTCTCTAAAACGTGCTAATCCTGGTACATATCACCACAGGGATAATCATGACGATCTGCTGGCTGAACGGGATGAGTTTGGAAGTCATGCAACCGTACCCAGGCCACTGTTGGTGATTGCGGTAGACCTTCCTTGCCTCGGAAGCTACTTCGGGATTGTCTCGGTCTGGCCAGTCTATCTGACACTCGCTAATGTTGCAATTAACACTCAAACAAGTGTGTGGGCGAGTGTACGTGCATCAATATTACGCCCTATACATGTAATTCTGTGATTCTGTCCATATATGCATCCTTTTAGCACACTCAACTAGAGCAGGATCAAACCTAAAACCTACGATATCTGCTTCTATTGCAGGTAGTTTCCAGATTGAACTGTGCCCGACATCCAGGCGTTCGTGCTAGGCTTGATACAAGACACCGTACGCTGTGGGAGCTTGCTGCCGACTTAGAGGTAAGGGTATAGATGAGTCTTATATCGGATTGTGTATACCATGCTTGACCTGTGGTGGCCATGTTAAACACTAGGTGACTCTAATCTTCATGCTGTTTCCCATGTGCAGTTACCTGAACCTCGAAATGCTTATCTTCGTATGCCGGCATTGCGGGAAGGGGTTGAACAGCGAGTTAGGTCTGGTGAATCACCAGAGGAGTAATCAACGGTGTTTAGCGATTCAGGAAGCAAATGCGTTTAGCACTCCAACTAGTTGTGGGATTTTGGTACCACCATTAGAACGTGTAGATTTCACGCCGCCATTTCCATTCGTGTTTGGAGTGCAGGATCCTGTAGTAGATAGGGGTGATGGCTATGATGAGTCATACGATGATGACAGTGACGTCTTTTGTGACGCCGAGGTCGAGTTTGGGGAAGAGGAGGAAGAGCGCCCTATATTCGACACTAAGAAGGAGACGTTTAGGTTTCTGGAGAGTTGCAATAAGGGTACGGGAATGGCCAGTCCTGACGTTAGTTACCTTTTTAGGTTAGTGAAGCAGCCCGGTTTTGATCCAGCACAGCTTGCTGAGTGGACCACAAAAGCAGCAGTAGATAGGTATGGGATAGAGGCCTTAGGAGTTTCTAAGCAGCAGTTTAAAATGATCGAAGTAACTGTTAGAGGATGGCCGTCATCATTTCATGTCAAGACAGTGGATCTGAAAGAGGTATGGTTATGAAAGTTTGGTAGTTAGGTAGGTTCTATCTTTGACTGTATCTGACAGCGGTTTGTTGATTGGCAGGCATTGGAAAGGATGTGGGGGGATAAGCGCAACGCTCCTGGATTCACACATCACGCTAAGAAAAAGATGGTGGATGATATTAGAGTGTATGATGCAGCACACAATGGGGACTATTGGTTGGGTGCTCAGGTAAATGCAATGTTAGGGATGTTTTGTTCACTATTTCATTTGCCATCTTCGTGCAGCCTCTTACATTCTATTACTCCGCCCAATATTACTCCACTACAGAAAGGCCTGGGACCCAAGGAGTGTGTCTGTCCACTCATCATTTCGAGCGATGAGACCACGCTGAGTGGTAACGAGCGATGTCGCGCTTGGCCGGTATACCTTACCTTTGCCAATCTTCCTGTTGATACGAGATGGAAGGAGCATGGTCGCACAATGATTGCGCTCCTGCCGCGTCCGGATCCTGAGATGGAAGCTTGGCAAAAAGTGGAGCTGTTCCAGAAGAGTAGTTGTGCAGTGTTTGAAAGCCTAATGCGGTTTTGCAAAACGTATGTGTTATGGTGATATTTGCATATTGTATCCAAATGTAGTTGTGATGCTGAATTATGGATCATACTCTTATAAGTTTTCCCCATGGGTGTTTGTTTTGGATGTGTAGTTCTCTGCCCTTGACAGATCCCAACGGCAATGTTTGGACCGTTTGGTTCAAACTATTCGAGTACATCGCTGATTATCCCGAGACCTGCAAGGTCACATGCACGATGCAACACAACTCGGCGCGCCCTTGCTCGATCTGCTATGTCGAGAAGTCGCAGCTGGACGTCATGGATCCACACATAATCGAGTACAGGACCGTAGAGCGTCAAATGAAGTACGCCAAGGACGCTAAGCTAGCGAAGGAGTATTCTACGGTTATGATGGACGTAAGTAACATGGCTATTATTACAGCTGTCATGTATATTTCGCGAAATGACACGCTGACATTGCGCTTGTGCGGCAGTATTATATGACTCGCATGACACTTCAACAAATGTAATCCATAGTTTGCGTGTCCCGTATATCAATCCTGCCCTGCAGACCTTTCTGTGGCATTTCGGCAAGCAGAAGGACGCTGAGAAGGATTGGGGAAACCCGTATCAAGTAATCCAACCTGATGTGTTACATGTGATATTGATCGGGCTTTGGGTGTACATCCTTGAAGCTTTGCTTTTCAAGAACAAAAATGTTAAAACGATGAACGAGTAAGTTTGCAAGTGATTTCATAAATATGGTGCTTCTCTTTACCCTCTCTTAATGGAGTATATACACAATTGTAACTTTGTTTCTACTGTATGGCCACTGGCAGACGTCATCGGGATCTCTACCGGGAGGCGCGATCAGCAGGCATTCCGCTACCCCCCCCTGGATGCTACTTCAGCCTTGGAGCCAACTTCTCAGCATCGGATCATGCAGGAATGTTGCGGGTGAGTATGTTTCCCCTATTAGATCGTAACATTCGTAACACTCTACGTTTAGTATGACCATTCAACCGTATGTGTGGTATTGTGTAATTCAGGTGGTCGTCTTCATCATGGAAGGACTCATTTCCGGTGCGGGAATGTATATTCTGCGTTTCTTTGTGAACTGGTTCGACACCTACTTCAGGGCAACATCCTACACGAAGGCATCGCTGGAGAAATATGTGACTGATACCCAAGAGTAAGTTTTTTGTCCGATTGGATGTTTGTACAGATTGGTTGCTTGTACCATTGTCACTCATGCCTTGCCATTTCACTGGCAGATTGATCCGGCTGTTGGTGCACAATCTGCCACGCGGGGGAAATGGGTGGAAGCTAGTGAAAGTACATTTGCTACTGCACTTCCCAGATTCGATTAGGCGAGGCGGTTTGCCTAGGGAGTTCTGCACTAGCCTTTTCGAGCATGCACACACTGCCTCATGTAAACGACCATTTCGAGCATCTAACTTCCGAGAGTATGATGCAGCAATCATGCGCAGCGCGGTGATGCGCAACGCGCTGTCTCTGTTGCCAACTTCTCTGCTGCAGAGCAAGCGTTACGACACCGCCCTCATGAAGGTAATGCACTTCGTGTTTTAATGCATCCTGTTTCTATCCCACTGGTATCTGTCAAAGTTTGAAGAAAGAAAAGAGGATTGAACTAGCAAGAATGAGGATACAAATAGCAAACCCTAGAAGGGGTGTACTCGCTATAGAGCACCCCACTACAGGCTAGAACAATAAGATAATATTCTGACACACCCCCATAGCCAAAGTGGGGTGTAATCAGCAGAGCAGGCAAAGCAAAACAAGCTCAGGGTGGATCACAATGTCACCACACATTCTGAGCACAAGTTCAAGAAGAAATAGTTTAGAGTTTACAATTATAAGCAAAGCTAGTGGTAGTCACAACGGGCAAGTGAGGAGGAGGAGGGAGAGTGAGGGGAGAGGAGACAGGAGGCGACGGCTGAAGCTGCAGACACACGGGCAACAGGAGGCAGACTGGCACAGCGGCTACCGGACAGCGCCCGGACTACAGGGGTAACAGGCCCCGCGGCTCAAATAGCGGCGGACGGGCAACGGACCCACGGGCGGCTGGCACAGCTGGCTACGACTGGGCTACCGGGACAGCGCCCCGGACTACAGGTGCTGCTGACGACAAACTGGCAACCTCCGCTCATCCTCCCGCACACAGTCCCACCCCCCTGATACACACCCACTGCTACACCACTAGCTCTACTCCCACGCACCCCCCTAAAACCCTAAACCCAGTCTCCCACACAACCACCCCCCTCAGCGACAACTGCAGCAGTGGGAGACGAAGGAGGAGGAGGAGAAAGGGAGGAAGGCACACCGGCCACCCCCATACCCGCCACCCCACAGCTCGGCGGCCCCCGAAGGAGCCGCGACGGGCGACGGGAAATGGTAGGGGGAGGGGGGGGGGGGGGGGGGGGGGGGGGGGGGGGGAGAGTGGGGCCCACGACGGACCTGAGAGGAGAGCGGGGCCGCGACAAGGGGCGGGGCCGCTTCGAAGGGACGGGGCCGCGACGCAGGGCGGGGCCGCGACGTAGGGCGGAGCCGCGACTGTAGGGCGGGGCCGCGACTGTAGGGCGGGGCCGCGACAAGGGCGGGGCCGTGTCGGTCGGGGCGGGGCCGCGACGTAGGGCAGACGCCCGCGAAGGTGGGGCGGGGCCGCGACGGTCGGGGCAGGGCCGCTTCGAGGGGCGGGGCCGCGACGCAGGGCGGGGCCGCGACATAGGGCGGGGCCGCGTCGAGGGGCGGGGCCGCGACGAAGGGCGGGGCCGCGACGTAGGGGAGAAGCCCGACGTAGGGCGGGGCCGCGACGTAGAGCAGACGCCCGCCGCACGCCTCGGGGCGCACAGCGGGCAAAGAACCGCCGCGCGCCCTAGGGCGCACGGCGGGCAGAAAACCGCCGCGCGCCTCGGGGCGCACGGCGGGAAGGAAAAAAAATCGCCGCGCGCCTCGGGGCGCACGGCGGGAAGGAAAGGTAGCAGCGGAAGCAAGGTGGGGACACACCCACAGGATCGATCCAAGGGGATCGACCTGCTCTGATAGCATGTCAAAGTTTGAAGAAAGAAAAGAGGATTGAACTAGCAAGAATGAGGATACAAATAGCAAACCCTAGAAGGGTTGTACTCGCTATAGAGCACCCCACTACAGGCT